CTGCACTCCAGTCTGGGTGGCAGAGTGAGACTCCAACTCAAAAAAAAAAAAAAAGAAATGCATTAATGTTAAGTTTTCTAAATTTTGTAAGTGTACTATGGTTATATAAGAAAAGATCTTGTTTTGTATGGAGAGAGAAGGGATGAGAGAATTATGTAGGGCAAAATATAAAGAATTATTGAATCTGCAATCTCTTGTACTGCTCTTATAACTTTTCTGTAAGTCTAAGATTATATTAAAATAAATAAAAAGTCATAAAAAAACAGTGAAATTCCACTTTGCACCCAGAAGGATGGCTTTAATTTATAAATAAAAAAACAAAACAGAAGATAAACGTAGTGAGGATGTAGAGAAATTGGAATCCCTTGTACACTGCTCATGGGAATATAAAATGATATAGCTCCTGTGAAAAGCAATTTGGCAGTTCCTCAAGAGCTAACATATGACCCAGCAATTCTCCTAGGTGTATACCCAAAATAATTGAAAACATTTTACACAAAAATGTGTACACAAATGTTCATAGCTTCATTATTCATAATAGCCAAAAGTTGGAAACAACCCAAATAAATTTTCATCAGCTGATAAATGGATAAAGAAGAGCTGGCAATTCCATAGAATGGAGTATTATTCAGCCATAAAAAGGAATGAAGTACTGATACAAACCATGACATGAATTAACTATGAAAACGGTATGCTAAATGAAAGAATCCAGACTGAAAAGAACACATGCTATATGATTCAATTTATATGAATCTAGAATTAATATGAGTCTAGAATAGGCAAAACCTTAGTGATAGAAAATAGGTTAGTGGTTACCAGGAACTAGGAGCAGGAGAGGGTCATAGTGACTGCAAGCAGATACAAGGTTTCTTTTTGGGGTTATGAAAGTACTCTAGATTAGATTGTGGTGACTGATTAATAGCCTTGTGAATATCATAAAAATTACTGAATTATACATTATTAATGGGTGAATTTTATGGTGTGTGAACCAAAGCTCCTTGGAAAATGATGACAGGTCTAGGGCAGGAAATGTACAATATAAGTGTAGAATATCTTGTCACACCAGAAAGTAACAGAGCTCTCAAAGGTCATGTCAAAGGGATTCAGGGACCTGTTTTTTTATTTGATTTTTTTTTTTAAGAGTCAAGGTCTCACTCTGTTGCCAAGGCTAGAGTGCCGTGGTGCAATCATAGCTCACTGCAGCCTTGAACTCCTGAGTTCAAGTGATCCTCCCACCTCAGCTTTCCAAGTAGCTGGGACTACAGGCGTGAACCATGGTGCTTGGCTCTCAGGAACCAGTTTGAAGAGACTCCCACTGGCCATAGATGAGACAGGCTGAGCATCAAAAGGAATAATAAGTACAATAGACTAAAGTACATTGACTATATATAAATTCAGTAGTTCGTAGTGATACTTAAAACAAAAAACAACCCATTGGCCATCTTTGTGTCATACTGGGGAGCTAATTCATTGTTTTGGAATTTGGTAAATAGGGAATAAAAACAAGCATATTGCCTGCTTTTACTGTGCAGACTGTACCTCAGGGTTACCAAATAATCAATGACCATGAAGTTTCTCTTTAAACAGAAGACTGCCTAATGAATGAAGAAGGAATGGTAGACTATCACCATTCATACAACCCTAAAGAAATAATATTGGGGGCCAGGCACAGTGGCTCAAGCCTGTAATCCCTGCACTTTGGAAGGCTGAGGCGAGAGAATTTCCGAGCCCAGGAGTTCAAAACCAGCCTGGGCAACATGGTGAGACTTCGTCTCTACAATAAATTTAAAGATTAGCTGGGAGCCGGGCTCGGTGGCTCAGCCTGTAATCCCGCGCCTTGGGAGGCTGAGGTGAATGGATTGCCTTAGCCTGCAGGTTCGAGACCCGCCTGGGCAACTTGGTGAGACCTCATCTCTACAATAAATCAAAAAAATTAGCCAGGTGTGGTAGCGTGCGCCTGTAGTTACAGCTACTTGGAAGGCTGAGGTGAAAGGATCACCGGAGCCCAGAAGGTCAAGGCTGCGGTGGCTGGGAGCAGCCACTACAGTCTGAGCGACAAAAGTGAGGCTCCAACTCAAAAAAATAAAAAATTTAAAAAATTAAAAAATTAAAATTAGCTGGGCATGGTAGGGTGCACCTGTAGTTTCAGCTACTTGGAAGGCTGAGGCAGAAGGATCACCTGAGCCCAGCAGGTTGAGGCTGTGGTGGTCTTGAGTGTGCTACTGCACTGCAGCCTGAATGACAAAGTGAGACTCCGACTCAAAAAAAAAAAAGAAATAATAAAATATTGGCGGTGTTCACCAGTGGCTGCTAATCCTACAAAAAGGGTGACGATGTGGTATCATGTCCCGTGGATGAAAGTATGCACCACTACCTGAAAGTCTTCCTACCAAAAACTACCCAACACAAATCAAATCTGATTATGCCTCAACATTTAATTGCCGTGTTCGGGTCAGGTGACATCATGGACATGTAATTAAGAAAATCTAGACTGAGTAAGCCACAGTCCAGATAGGTGACTTGGTTTGTTCAGCAAATAAATTACAAAATAAAAAAAGGAAACAAGATACGTAGAACGTTAATAACAGATAAGGATGGTACTGATTGGAGTTAAAAGTTGAAGGGACCAGCTGGGCTTGGTGGCTTAGCCTGTAATCCCAGCACTTTGGGAGACCGAGTCGAGTGGATTGCCTGAGCCCGCAGGTTTGAGACCCACCTGGGCAACTTGGCGAGACCTCATCTCTACACTACATCAAAAATTAGCCAGGCATGGTAGCGCGTACCTGTAGTTCCGGCTACTTGGAAGGCTGAGGAGGAAGGATCACCAGAGCCCAGCAGGTGAGGCTGTGGTGGCCAGGAGCGGCCACTGCACTCCAGTCTGGGCGACACAGTGAGACTCCAACTCAAAAAAAAAAAAAAAAGTTCAAGGGACCTTACGTTGTTTGGGAGAAGGGTAAAAATATTGATTCACTTACGTTAAATGCACTCATTAAAATTCTTACAAGCCATTAAAGGAACAGAATAGAGTGAGCCAGGCACAGTGGCACACACCTGTGGTCCCAGCTATTTGGGCAGCTGAGGCAGGAGTATCTCTTGAGTCCAGAAGTTGGAGTCCAGCTGGCCAACATGGCAAGACTCTATCTCTGTTTTAAAAAGAAAAAATAGATTTTATAATGTCCTAGTCAGTGAAAGGGGATGAAAAGGAAAAGAGTAGTCAATTAAGGAAAAGAAAAAGAAACATTAAAAAGATGGGACAAGTCAGGCATTGTGGCTCATGCCTGTAATCCCAGCACATTGGGAGACCAAAATGGGAGGATTACTTGAGGCCAGGAGTTTGAGATCAACCTGGGCAATATAGTGAGACCCACATCTTTACAAAAGATTTAAAAATCAGGGCCATAGCTAGGCACAGTGGTTCATGCCTGTGGTTCCAGGCTGATGTGGAAGGATCACTTGAGTCCAGCAGGTCGAGGCTGTACTCCAGCTTGGGTGACGGAGTGAGACTCCAACTCAAAAACAAAAACAAAAACATGGCCAGGCACAGTGGCTTACACCTGTAATCCCAGCACTTTGGGAGGCAGAAGTGAGAGGACTGCCTGAGCCCAGGAGTTAGAGACTAGCATGGGCAAGTTGGCAAGACCTCATCTTTACAATAAATCAAGAAAAATTAGCATAGCATGGTGGTGCATGCCTATAGTTCCAGCTACTTGGAAGGCTGAGGCAGAAGGATCTCCTGAGCCCAGCAGGTTGAGGCTTCGATGGCCGTGAGCATACCACTGCACTCCAGCCTGGGAGACAGAGTGAGATTTAACAAAAAAAAAAAAATTAGCTGGCACATTAGCTGTGCACACCTGTATCCCAGCTACTCAGGAGCCTGAGGCAGGAGGATCTCTTAAGCCCAGGAATTCAGGGTTGCAGTGAGCCAATATTGTGCCACTGGACTCCAGCCTGGAGAAAGAAGAAAAGAAAGAAAAAGTGGGGAAAAAAAGAAGCTGTAAAATAAGGTAATAGATATAAACCTAAATATATTCTCAGTAGGTATAAATGGACTAAGTTTCATAAATGTGAAGGTTGGCAGCTTTGAAAAGAAAGTTTGTACATATTGTTCACATGATATAAAACTTACTAAAGAAAAGTTGGAACAAAGGGAAAGGAGAGTGTTGGAAAACATTAAGAGCATGAAGAACTTGTTTTCTCTTTTCAGGCTAAAGAAGAAGGAGTTTAGTTTAGAAGAAATATATACCAACAAGAATTATAAGTCTCCTCCTGCAAACAGGTAGGTACGTGCAGCTGGGAAATAAAAGGTAATAATTCTGAAATGACTGATATAAGTCTCCAGTCCTTTCACTTCAGAAAGGACTTATGTTTGGTTCTACCAATATTGGGAGTCATACCAATATAGACTTGGTATTTTTTTGTTTGTTTCCAACACTTGAATTGGGATTGATGATAGGATAGAAATGTGTACTGGGTTAGATAGAGAAAATGTAGTCTCCTTTTAGTGTGTTGTTACCAGACATGCTGACTGTCTTCTTCAGGACTGATAATCATTGATCTTCAGATAAGATTCAAAACCAAAATACAGGAAGAGTTTCACTTAGCCACCTTTAGGTCTGAATTCATTTCAAGTCAGTGTACATTTATTAAATGGCAGTTGTACATCTCAGATGTAGCAAGAGAGTTCTAGGGTTTATCCTAGTATTCTGTACATGTGCCCTAGGATATTTGTACAACTATTACAACCTCATTGCAGCATTACTTTTATAAAAACAACAAAATGAGTGTGATGACTCAGGCCTATAATCCCAGCACTTTGAGAGGTGGAAGTGAGAGGATTGCCTGAGACCAGGGATTCAAAACCAGCCTGGGCAACATGGTGAGACCTCATCTCTACAATAAATAATTTTTAAAAATAGCCAGGCGTGGTGTTGTGGGCCAGTAGTTCCAGCTACTTGGGAGGCTGGGGTGGAATGATGGCCTGAGTCCAGCAGATCAAGGCTGTGGTGGCTGTGAGGGTGTGCTACTGCATTCCAGCCTGGGTGACAGAGGGAGACTCAAAAAAAAAAAGAGGATTAGAAACAACCTAAAATATCCATTGCTAGGGTTCTCATTAATTTATAGTCCATAGTCTATTCTTTTTTTTTTTTTGAGTTGCAGTCTCACTCTTTGTTGCCCAGGCTGGTGTGCAGTGGCATGTTCACGGCCATCGCAGCCTCGACCTGCTGGGCTTAGGTGATCCTTCCACCTCAGCCTTCCAAGTAGCTGGAACTACAGACGCACACCACCACACCTGGCTAGTTTTTTTGTGATTTGTTGTAGAGATGAGGTCTCACCAAGTTGTCTAGGCTGGTCTTGAACCCCCAGACTCAGGCAATCCTCTTGCCTTGGTCTCCCAAAACACTGGGATTACATGCTGAGCCACTATGCCCGGCCCATAGTCTGTTCTTATCACGGAATACCCTGTGTTGCCATTAAAAAATGAATCAGATACCTGTGTACTAAGCTGGAACAATCTTAAAGGTTATTGGTAGGTCAAAGAAACACAATATACAGAGCTGGTATAGGTATAGGTAGCTGGTGACTATTTGAGGAAAAAACAAAACCAAAAGGAGAATACAGCTGTGGGTCAGCAAATTATAGGCCAGATCCAGACAGTGGCTTATTTCTATTTTATGGCCTGTAAAACAAGCAATGGTTTTTTTGTTGTTGTTTAGAGTTGGAGTCTTACTCTGTCACCCAGGCTGGAGTGCAGTGGCATACTCACGGCCATTGCAGCCTCTACCTGCTGGGCTCAGGCGATCCTTCTGCCTCAACCTTCTAAGCAGCTGGAACTACAGGCATGTGCCACCATGCCTAGCTGTTTTTTAGATTTATTGTAGAGATGAGGTCTTGCCGTGTTGTTCAGGCTGGTCTTGAACCCCTGAACTCAGGTAATCCTCTCACCTCTGCTCCCAAAGTGCTGGGATTATAGGCGTGAGCCACCGCGCCTGGCTAGGAATGGTTTTTATACTTTTAAAGTGTTGTTTAAAAAACAGAATACTGCCAAGTGCAGCATATGTAGTGCCTGATACTCAGAAGTCTGAGGCAAGAGGATCTCTTGAGCCCAGGTATTTGAGTCCATTCTGGGCAACATAGCAAGACCCTGTGTCTAAAAAAAAAGAAGAAAAACAAGAATTTGTAATAGAGAACTATGTGGCTCACAAAGTTTGACATGTTTACCATCTGGTCCTTTAGAGAAAAGGGCTGACCTCTGATAATATATGCTTATTTATGCCATACATTGAATGGCTTTTTTTTTTTTTTGAGTTGGAGTCTCACTCTGTCACCCAGACTGGAGTGCAGTGGCATGCTCCTGGCCACCGCAGCCTCGACCTGCTGGGCTCTGGTGATCCTTCCTCCTCAGCCTTCCAAGTAGCTGGAACTACAGACGTGCGCTACCACGCCCGGCTAATTTTTTATTTTATTGTAGAGATGAGGTCTCGCCAAGTTGCCCAGGCGGGTCTCGAACCCGTGCGCTCAGGCACATTGAATGACTTTTTAGAAGATACACAAGAAGTGTTAACTGTGTTATCTGTGGAGTTGGAGTATTTATTCTGTACCCTTCATCCAGTTTGAATTTGTTCACTGTGTTCATGTATCATACGTTTTCTTCTATATAAAAAAAATAGACACTGGCTAGAGGCAACAGTCAACTGTAAGGAGTTGTGAGTACAAGTAGCTTTCAGCCCTGTTGACTGGAAGGATTGGTGGCACAGGAGATGAGCCATGAGTCAGTTCTTTGGTAATTCTGTTTTGTGCTCCATCCTTAGGTGTTTAGAGACTATCTTTGAAGAACCCAAGGAACGAAATGGTACACTAATCTCAATCAGTCAACAGAAGAGGAAGCGAGTTCTAGAATTTCAGGATTTTACAGTCCCACGAAAGAGGAGAGCTCGAGGTAAAGTCAAGATGGCAGGCAGCTTTACCAGGGCCCAGAAGGCAGCTCTTCAGAGTCGAGAGCTGGATGCTCTTTTGATACAGAAACTAATGGAACTGGAGACCTTCTTTGCCAATGAAGAGGAGCAGGAACAGTCATCAGGGTGTTGAGAAGCAATTCAATTTGGAGTACCAATTTTAGATTTTTTTTTTTTTGGACCTCCTTGGAAGAGGTTGCCTGATATTGCCCTACCACCTGTACCACTCAAAACGCACAGTCCATGAATTTTTACTTGTTTCAAGGTGCAAACTTTTTAGGACCTGGTGAAGAGGGTCTTCTACTTCTACTGCTGAGTATAGAACCTCAGGAATGCTCCTTTTCTCCTGGAAATGGTCCTGAATGACATCTGGCCTCCTCCTCCCATTCTCTGCCATTCACAGGAGGAAGAAGCAGCATATCTTCAGTAACACTAGGATTCCAAGGACTCACAGGATTTGCACGTCCATATGAAAGTTCTGCTTTGTTTACGGTGGTGCTAGACCAAGATTATTTAGAGGCATGGCCTAGGGAGGGGGACCTGGCGTTCTGTCCTATGTGGTCTCACCGGCTCATGTCAGTAGTTGAGGAAAGATGAGCTGTTGTGTTTTCTAAATCTTTGAGTCTGTATACCCAGAACCTGTTGATGTGAGTGTGTGTGAGAGAGAGAGAGAAAGAGAGAGAGAGAGAGAGAGAGAGTGTGTGTGTGTGTGTGTGTGTGTGTGTGTGAGACTTTTTCCCATTGTGTTCTTCCCTCTGTGACTGTGGGTCACTAGTGCCAGAGGAGCCCGTCCAGGCCCCATTCAAAGTAAGTTGCACTTTTTAATGTTGTGGTGTTGTTTTCATTTGTTTTATCTCTTTTTTTATTATTATTGCTGCATGTTTGGAGCCTTTAAATGTGATTTTAAAACAATTTTTGAGAAAGGAGAAAAAATACATGTCTTAAGAATACATGATAGGCATTCAACCCAGTTGATCAATGCACGGAAGAGAGATTTTCCTGTTCATGTGTTTCAAGCAATCCCTTCCCCATCTCCAACTTCTATTGTAACTCATTAGAGGGAGCACATTTTTCATCTGGGTTCTCATTCTTGCCGACTAAGTACATGTATTTAGTTTAGTGATTTAAGAGCAGGTTGCTCTCCTAATCATTTAAAACATACTAGGGTTGGGTGTGGTCTTAATGATTTTTTTAATGAAATACTGGTGTGTAACAAAGTTGGGTACAACACCTCGGGCAGTGATATAGACCAACCCAGAGTGTTTGCAGTTCTCCAAGCAGCCTGCTCCAAGACTGGGGCGAGATTCGGGGTGGTGGTTCATACCCAGTGATGTGTTCTTGCAGTGTGACCATGAAATTCCACGGCCAGCCCTCTTTAAGGGCCACCTCATTGTATTGTGGGCTTCTGTGTCAGACCTACTGGAAATGTTGTCAAATGCCAGTTAGCTGAGTTTCTGGGTTTGTGCCTGCAGGAGTTTGTGGGCAGAGAGGTGCTGTGAGTCAGCAGACCCTGAGGCCTCGCTCCTTTCCCACTGAAGCCCTGTGTGCCCTCACCCTGCTTCTCCTCCCCTCCTTCTCTTGGAGTGAATCTCTCTCTCTCTCCCTCTCTCTCTCTCTCTCTCTC